AGGACAGCAGCTTATCCGTGCACAAAAAACACGCCCTCTTGAAACGCCCTCCATCTACACTCTCACACTCTGTCTCACGCATGCATACATAAAAACATACACTGACACACATGCAGCATGCAGACACACAAATGCTTCATTTCCTAGTTTATAGTAAATGTATAAAATGCTAAAGTAGCAAAACACTTCAGATTGATTTTTAATTTTTTTTGATTTATTTATTTTTGCTGTTAAGTAAATATGACCCGACACCTCCTTATATGATCAATGTGACTGCTTAAGGTTCTTTAGGATGAAGTTTTATCAACAAATCGAACCTGAATTTTAAGATTTATTATTGTGTTGCAGTTAATCACAAGCACACCGTTTTGAATTGACACTAAGTGAAAAGATGAACCTCCTCCTGGTCAGGCATCTGCCACTCCTCCTCCTTCCATCCTCCCATCCTCTCATGACTGGGAGGTTGAGAAGACAGGCAGAGCCTGGAAAGGCCCTGCCCAGCCATTTAATCCTCTACTCCCATTCACCATCACTGCTAATCTCCTACACCACCTCCCCACCACCACCACTGCCACCAACAGTATCGCCTCCACCTCCACCTCCACTTCTCCCTCAAGAGGTGCACAAAGACCCTAAGCGCCCCTGTCCCGCCCCACCCGCCATCCCACCCCTTCTCGTATCCCTAACCTGCTCCGCCCAGTGCTCCTCCAGCAGGAGGCACCCAGTTTTCTAAGCCCAGGAACCATAATCCTGTGGGGCTCCAAGTTTGGGTGAGCCCAAAGGCTCATTGAGTGCCGGATAACTCTCTCCGGGTCTTTAGCTGTCTGTCTTATTGTTGCTGCTGCTGAGAAGAGGACAGACACAAATGGAGTTTGAATTTCAATGCTAACGACTCAGAGAAAGAGACAGCAGAATATGGACTGGTGGGCATCCAGGCGTTAAGAGTATTTTCAAGGAGGCCATGGGGAAACACATGCAAATGCTGTGGGCAAGTGCAGGCCATAACATCCTTATTCTAAGAAAGGCTGAATGCAATACGGTTATTTTTGTTTGTTTTACAAGATCCCAATTATATTCAAAGCTGAAGATATTTAACACCATTTGGACTTATTTGAAATTTGTTCTTGTTGTCATGAAATTTAGTTCACTAAAGTTGAATATGAATCTTAAGTCATAAAGCGGCATTTATGTTTCTGTTTTTGTTAAAAAGGAATAAATCTTACACCATCGGTATGTAAAACATTTACACCCACATTTCTTTCAGATTTAATGCATCTTTCATCGCACCATAATATTAACTTCAATATTTGAGTGAAATCTGTGACAATCTGTGCTCTCCTCCTCTACTGGATCACCCCAGGGTTGCTGCCTCTCTCCCCTTCTGTTCATTCTGTACACAAATGAGTGTCGCAGCAGTTTCACGAACAGACACATCCTGAAGTTTGCTGACGACACAGTGATCGTCAGTCTTCTAGTGGGGGACGAGTCAGGCCATGGACAGGTTGTAGATGATTTTGTGAATTGGTGTGATGAGTCCTTCCTTTCACTTAATGTGTCAAAAACTAAAGACATGATTATTGATTTTAGGAAGTCCTCTTATAGCTCATCACCTACTATCATTAAAACTGCAGATATTGGGATAGTTGAGAGTTATAAATATCTAGGTGTGGTACTTGACCATAAACTGTGTTTTGAATCTCATGCTGATGCCACTACTAAAAAAGTTCAACAAAGACTGTTCTTTTTAAGGAAAATGAGCTCTTTTAATGTCTCATCTGAGATGTTGTCCTTGTTTTATCGAATCTGTGATGTCTTTTTGTATTTCTGCCTGGTTTGGTAACCTGACGGTGAAGAATAAGAATCGGTTGGGACTTCTGGTAAAAACTGCTAGCAAAATTTCATGACGTTGGCAAGACGGACTTTTGGCCATTTACAATAGAAATGTGCTTAGAAAGGCTCATTCTATTATTAATTGTGTGAACCATCCACTTCACAGTGAGTTTGAGTTGTTGCCTTCCGGCCGCCGTTTTAGAGTACCTCCGAGGAGGACTAAAAGACTCCAGGTCTCTTTTATCCCTACTGCGTCTTGTCTCCTTAATGGCAAATAATTGTCCTTGAACTTTCTATCATTATTATTGTTATTATTATTTTATAGTATTGTTCTGTTTATTTTTATCCTGCTGCTAAACTAATTTCCCCTTGTGGAACAATAAAGAAATTGAATTGAATTTGAATTAAAAAATGCATTTCAAAATATTTTAGTATTTGATATTCTCCCCCTTTGCCGTTGAGCGGGATTATGACGTGAAAAATGACAGCTCGGTCTCCTTGGTAGTTTTGGAAATTTCTGAGGTGCGTTTTGGATCATTAAACTGCTGCTGTATGATGATGGTTTGTCTCATGGAACAAACTTTGGATTACTGATCCTTCTGGACTTTCTCAAGGCTCTGAATGTCTGCTTCAAATGATGGGAATCAGAAATCTGAGCTTTAATAAGAAGTCATTGCCACATATTTGCTTAAATTTAATTGACAACCTATACATACTACTACTCCAACTTAAATATTTTTGCTTATTTTAGGCATTAGATTGAATAACACATAAATTCTTAAAGGTTTTTGTTGCTTTCAGTGTTTTGAGAATTCAATTCTGACATATCTTTAAAGTTGTTTCAGGACCCCAATCTTTCTTCCTCTAGTGCTCTAACTTTTCTTTGTGATAAGGCAGAGCTCTTCCTCACATTCTGAACTAGTGTCTGATTGAAGGATTTCAGACTGACACAGGTAACATTAGATCTATACAATCCTCAGCACAAACACAATTCGCTCATAAAAAACAACACAACTAACTAATACAATTGCCTAAGCATGCACACAAACACAAATACATTCACACTGTGCACACAACTGCTAGCACGGTCAGCACTTTGGTTCTGCATGCGACAGCGTAGGTGAGCTTGACAGATCCCTCGCCACTGCTTCTCTGCCTTTTATTTACAGAAGCTATCTTTCCCATAAGTCACCATTCCTGTATTCATAAAGCATCATGGTTGTCATAACTCATTCTTCCCCTTTATGAATAAAGCTCCCAAATTTATGGTGATGGCGCTGAGAAGTGGTGGCCTCCCTGGTGACAAACTTTCCCCAGTCTGTCACCACTGGCCTGAGCTGCTTCAGAGCCCTAGATCAAAAGCTCCAGATGGGAGCGCCACTTTATCGCTCCACGGTCGGTGACATCACCTTGCTGCGCTGTGCGGGATTGATGATGAAAGCAAACATATCTATCTTAGCTCACATTTACCAAATCAATTTTATTTTTACAGACCCTCCGCAGGGTTATTGGCATATTGACGGGTTGCAGGCAAAAGGAAGGCGGAGGGAGTGGGGTGAGCGATGGCCGAGGGATAGTAAACGGGTGGGCATGGGAGAAGAGGGGGAGGGTCAGGAGGGCTTAATGGTGTTTACCATATTTAATGCAGAGGGATGTCATCACTGAATATCCATTCTGAATAATGTGGCATTTCATCATAAATTCTTTACAACTTATTTACTTAATGGAAAGAGTTATGGCTTGCTGTCAGGGCGGTAATTAAACATTGTGATACAGTGCTGCCTCGCCAGGATCCCATCTTTCCCCTCAACTCCCCCATCCGCCTGCCCCAAGACACACACATATGCACACTCACATCCAAGCTCCTCAGCTTCTTAAATACATATTATTATTCAAGCTCCCCATAAATTACCACAGGATTAAAATTCATGAAACCTTTTTTCTTTATTTCCTTCCCTGGGAAAAAGAATAACCCAGAGCTTGTTCAACCAGCTGTAAATCTCTTTGGGAGAGACAGGGACTTCATATTATGATTTTATATCATGAAAATTGGCTTAAATAAAGACTATTTCATCACTTCGATTTAACGCAAATTTATATTTGCATCCCACTCTGCAGTTGATAAAGAGGTAGAAGTTGCTTCCTGGAGAAATTCAGCTTAAAAAGAAATAATAAAATAGCTAAGGAGCAGAAATTTATTTTGGTTTTCTCCAAACCAAAAACCACTAAGTTTGAACTGATGGGCTGGATTAATGCTGTATGATGCAAACCAACTGAGGACGAGTCCAAATCCCAAACTATTTATATGAGCTGAATGTTAATATTTTACCAACATGCTCTCAGTCAGCTATAAAGTGCAGCACGGAAACGTTCTCTGTAGTTAGACTCTACAAAGAGGAAAAATGCTGTATTGAATCATCGTTTTCTTTATATACCTTGACTTCTCACTTCAGTGAGCTGCATGGTCGGCTTTTCTTAATGAGCCTGGCTCTGCGCTACAAATCCCTGAGTTTCAAAGACTAAATCCTCACGTTCAAATGAGAGAGGATCTATTTTGGGAGTCTGAATGAAGCCAATACTCCCCCGCGCCTCTCCGTCCTGCTCCATAAAACTGAACTAGCCTGACACTGACAGAGACCACATCTAACCTTTGACCTTGTGCCGTGACCCTGCATTCGATTTTTTTGTGTCTGCTGACCAATATGTGATTTGCCAGTGGTCGCACTGGGTCCCTAACCGGGATGAAGAAGGGATTTATGGCTTTTCATTTTAATTGAGTTAAGAGCACGAGCTCAACTCACTTTCTTTCAGTCGCGCTGACCTAACATTACATCATTGGGCAACAAACGGCAGCAACAACTTTGTGGTCACTGTGCTAAATGTGAACATGACGACATGGAAGGAAATAAAAAGTGGACTGATGTGAACGCTACACAGTGTACAGGGGAAGGAAATTCCGTCTCGTCAAAAAGTGTGATATTACTGCTGTAGAAAAAACATAGTGAAATGCAGTTATGTCACATAAATGCACATAAACACTTCTTGTTTTAATCTGGACACCCTGGTTGCCTAAAGGATCTTTGATGCCACCTATAAACATCTCTCTTCCCAGCTTTATTCCCTGTCACTAGATAACATAATGAAATACAGGAGTTTGTATATGTTCCTACCTCCCAGCCTTGAGTAGGATCTTGGAGACAAGGCCTGTGCTCTCCTTCATATGGTCCAAATCGCTCCCCGACGTTCACCTTCCTGCGGCTCCAGATGCCCAGCCCTCCAGATGGGACGGTTGACTCTCGCAATTCAAAGTCAAAGGGAATGCTCAGATCTTCTTGGGGGAAAAAGATGCTTTGGTGTTGGAATGACAGATGGTCCTGTGGAGAGGACTCATCGTCAGAGAGTGAAGGTGATCCCGGGTCTTCTGGCAGGGCCGAAGAAGGTGTAGGATCCCCATCAGAGCCGCATACGTCGTCTAAGATGTCGGATGGATAAAGAGGTATCTTATCATCTCCGTCACCTGCAAGAGACAAGAAGTCTTGATGTGAGGGTCATGCCCAATGACATAAAGTGGCAACGGGTTATTGTTCCCATCTCTTTAACTTACTTCAGAGATGGAGGACAACATATGAAAACTTGATTAGTTCAAATAAACAGTAGGAGACAGAAGGGCCTTCGGGTCTGGAAACAGCAAATGTATCATGCAAGGGGACCTTCATTCTGTTGCAGTGGAAATTAGTAGTAAAAAACAGGAGATCCTGAAGTGAGCCCACTTCTTGTTTATAATTTGTACTCGCCTGGCATGTTCCTGCCTTAGGAATTAAGCAAGGCAAATTTAATTTTTAAAATAAAACCTATTAGGTCAAAAACAGGTTTTTGGGCCCTACGGCAAAGGGTTGACCCAGCATTGTGCTATTCTGGCTGTTTTATAATTCTTTTTCCTGAACTCTTTCTTCAATGTGCAGTGAAAACAGAGGGAACAGAGAGACACACACTAGGGTTTATTGTGAGTGGAGTGAAACAGGATATTGAAGCACGACCCCTCAACCCACACTGGGCTTCTTTAGAATGGCACACGTGGCTGTTGAGCCTAATAGTGAAATAAAGATTGAATTATTCCCAGTGTTGAAACAATCTGTGATGGTATAAACTTGCAATGCTGTGAAGTCTTTGAAACAGAGGTAGATTGCAAGAAGCACATTAATTTGAAAAACAGTTGCATTTAAAATACAAAGTCATATGTACAGGTAGGACGTTTTAAATACAACATCATATATGAGATGTCGCCCAGCAATCAAAGACACAGCAAGGCAGTAATTGAGCCAGCGAACGCAACGGGCTGCTAGCCAGGTGTTGCAGGGTGGGACAGAAAGACACTAAAAGCCGGAAATGATCCACAGGAAACTGCTGTTCTGTGGTGGGCTGTGCCTAACACACACTGACAGGTCACAGGGAGAAGGAGCTCTGCTAATGAGGCTCAACAACCCATCCCTGGGATGAGGAACATTCCTGAAGGGCTTCCTGTGTGACACTGTACCTCAGCGCTGTCAGCCACGGAACCTTTGATCCACCCAGATACACACACGCACTTCTTGTTCACTGGCCTTGAATTAAACATGTGTCTGATTGAATAAATGGGGCATTGTGATTGGCCACAGGCGGTCATGAACTAACCTGAGAAATTAACTTAAGACTTGAACAAAACCAATGCACTTCAATATTTGTATGCTTGCAACTTAGCACTGCTACATTACTCGACACACAAGATAAGCAAAGACCAGCGAGCTACACATTTGTAAATATATGCAGACTCCATTTTTCTCAAGGTCAGAACACAAGTTGTGGTGAAGAGGAATGTAAAACTGTAAAGTACTGCATAAGTAGTACATAAGATGTTTTCCTCTGTCAGTAAGAATCATAATTCCTGTCAAACTGTGTGTTTGCTGTGGCAAAGAAATAAAAATCTATGCATGAACATAGTTTGCTGAATCAGCTCTCTGTTATATTATTATTTTCTGTGTAATCCAGCATGTGCACCTGTGCGTGCATGTTTTGTCAAGGCGTACTTACAACTAAAGCAGTTCTGATAGTCATTCCCTGCAGCAATACCTGATCACAGTGTCTACACGGTGTACAACTATTGTGTTTGACATACACACTGTGTGGGCCCAGGGAATTTAAAGGAGACGTCTTTCAAAGACTCGACTGGACTGGGCCGGGCATGAAACCCAATGTGGCTCTGGGAGTAAGGGTAATGATTTTCAGCACAGAGACTGTGTAACATGGTTAGAGGCCTGGATGTGAAGTTTGCCACATGGTAGAGGGACAAGAGCTTTTAAAGGTAACTGTATCCCACCATTGCTGTTTCTCCTCTGACATTTTCCCTCTCACGCTGGTCTCCAAGTTTATATTTGATTCAGGCCAGGAATTCCTCTGGTCCACTGGACTCCACAAGAGCATTTCGGCTCATAAACATATATGTTTCTGTAAAGTAAACGATTGCTGAAAACAAATATGCTATGTGCAGAGTTTTGAAAATTGTGGTCTCATGTGTAGATGACTGATAATTTAGTCTTAGGGCTTTGCTTAGGTGTGTGGACAGCAGTGACACTGCAGTTGGATGATCAGATCAGTGTGTGTGTGTGTGTATGTGTGTGTGTGTGCGAGTGCATGCATTTTTAATGCTCTGCCTACATGCAGCAAACGGTCGTGTTTGTTTGTTCAGTAATGGACATTACTTCAAGCTGACGCCCTTCATCAAAGTGGGAGCTCTGAAAGAATTTTGGATTGAGAAGGGGAACTCCATCTCAGAGCATGCTCATGACTTCAACTGCATTAATAACACAGATTGCACATCAAGATAGTACCAGCAAGCACGGGAGGGGGTGCACTCCTGAGAAACTTTCATGTTTATGTATCCAAAAGACAAAAAGCAAAACAGTGAGGGAAACAAAATTATCTCCTCATCAGAATCAGCCATTAGCACAGGAAAGCACATATTGGCTTTTTGAATAAACACAGATATGCCCACATACTTATACATCATGTATTCAAATGGTTGAGCTTGATGCCAAATTCATTAATTTTTATTAAGAGGGAAAACATTCGTTCCCGGCCCTGCTATCTGCATGGGTGGAATGATTTTCACCTCTGCCACAATGTGTTGGGCGAACTCATACATCACATGATTACCCCAAGCAGCGAGCACGGCCGCCATCATCAGGGAGTGAATTAAAGATGATAGAAAGAGCTATTAATCACTGTGACAAAGCCCCTAATGGAGGTGTGACCCAGCCAGTGCTGACGGGACGCCAAGAGGACGCACCCACGGGACAAATGGATACATATGTTTACAGAGAGAATAACCTACCTGTGGACATACTCGACCCCTCCTCTCTGAGTGTTTTTTTTATTTTTTTTTGGTTCTTTGATCCGCTGTCTTTCCTGCTGTTGTGTGTCTTTTTTTCCAGTTCTATTTTTTGTCTGTATTTTATTTAATTATTTGGCTGCGTCTTGTTGTTAGCAGGTGAGGAAGAGCTGGAGAAGTCAAAAATATTAAGACTTAAAAAAAATATAATCTGTCAGCTAAACCATGAGTTTTATTATTTGTAGACAGTGGGTGAAGTTAGGAAAAGAGTTTTTCCACTGTATGTCTGTTCATAGTATACAATGAGATGAAAACATCATTCATCTACTGAGCCTGAGGACAATTCAGAGTACAAATCATTTACCAGAGAAAGAGCTCGAAGACTTGATTGATGGGGGTCTTAGATCATGAAATATGGAAATTAACTTCTCACCTAATGTGGAGCGGCCCTCGTGCTTATCTGTAGACATCATTTTTCTCATGTGATAACAGACAGCCAGGCATGAGGCGATGTATGGGGTCTTACCCTTGTACTACAGGTCAAACATTATCACATATGATCTCCTCCATTTGTCATCATCCACATTTAAAAACTGCACACTTCATCACATCCCTGCTTTCGCTTTATATCCAAGCACCACAGAAAACCAGTTTGCTCTGCTGTTCCAAGAACTTAGAAAGAATATCTGTGCAGTAAAAATGAGCACTGAAAACACAAATACTCAAAATATGTGGCAGCGACTGAAGGGCCATAGCATGATTGCTGTTGTTTCTGCTTTTGTCCTGAAAAACAAGATACCCCAAGAGACTGTGACAGAATTCAAAACACATAAAAATAATTATCTTTCATTTGGTTAATTTTAACGCTCTCACAGCTACTGCCAATCAGAAAATGACTGCTGTAGATTTGCTAAGTACTGTTAATTACAGTGCATCACTGTGCGGCTATATTCCCTCAGCAGGGTGCATAGGAGAGCGTTTGGAGCCCCATGGCCTCGGGAGAGGCAATAAGCTTCCTAATTAACTCTGTCTTTGTGCTTAATGGAGGCCTTAACACCGCTTTTAGGGAGTCTTTTGGTCCGTGGGTCCATTGGGGTGACTGTGGAACTGACTGATACGAAGCACAAACATTCAAATCTGTAGGTAGCTCGACAACAACAGTTTTAGGCAATTGTCCACAGTTTATCTGTCAGCATTTGGTTCTCAGACCACCAAGAATTTCCACATTTAAAACAAGATATGGTTTGTTAGACAGAATGTGGTAAAAATCTAAACAAATAATATAAAAATATGTGAATGTAAAATTTTGTTCTAGTGGCTTTATGTGTTTGTATTTCTCTTATGCTTTTCATGCTTACTCCCAGAGAGACCAGAAAATACATCAAAGATGGTTTTGTGTAAGTAATGCTCTGTTACTGTATGTTTAAATAAATACCATTTATATAGCTGCCTTCACTCCATATTATTACAAATTGGTATTTGTATTATGCAAAATGTTTAAGCTGGCACACACGCACACACACACACACACATGCACACATACACACATAAACACACACTAACGGGAACAGAGCTCTTAACACAGTGTTAATTAATGAGAGCATTGTCCATGTTTTTTCCCCCTTGTCTTAGTCAATGACTCCTCATTCCAAATGGAAAACACTCCATTAAGGGCCGTGGGCGAAGTTACCAATTAACACCGTGGAACAAACTGAAACTTTGAGCTGGTCCCCTGTGCGCGCACACACATACACACATACACACAGACACCTAATTAATTAGCATTAGTTGTGATTAATAATGAGCGTCCTTTAATGGTAAATCTGCAGCTCCGATGGCAGGCTGACACAACAAAGGAGTCTGTGTACGCGCCAGGATTTATCTGCCGAGCTGCTCGGGGATTTTAACATGTTTCTCACAGGCTTGACAAATGGCCTATTAATTATCTAATGTTGTCTGACAACAACCGCTTGATAAAGATGTATGTTTAGACAGGGAGAGGAGGGGAAGAAACAGCAGAGGGAAAGAGAGAGGCCTGTGCGAGGAATCGAGAGAGGGGGAGAAAATGTGTGTTTGCATAAAAGAAAAAAAAAATGTTGAGATTGAGGGGAGGCTTGTGTCGTTTCATGCAGTTGTGAGCTACTGACTGACAC